CCGACCCTGGCTCAGAATACAGAATAGCAAGAGTTGGAAGGGACCTCGGAGGTCATCTAGTCCAGCCCTTGCTCAGAATACAGAATAGCAGACTTGGAAGGGACCTCAGAGGTCATCTAGTCCGAACCTTGGTCAGAATATAGAATGGCAGACTTGGAAGAGACCTCGGAGGTCATCTAGTCCGACCCTTGCTCAGAATACAGAATAGCAGAGTGGGAAGGGACCTCAGAGGTCATCTAGTCCAACCCCCCTGCTCAGAATACAGAATAGCAAGAGTTGGAAGGGACCTCAGAGGTCATCTAGTCCAACCCCCCGCTCAGAATACAGAATAGCAAGAGTTGGAAGGGACCCCAGAGGTCATCTAGTCCAACCCTGGCTCAGAATACAGAATAGCAGGCTTGGAAGGGACCTCGGAGGTCTTCTAGCCTGACCCTCCCCCCCCCCCGACCAGAATACACCATCCCAGAGGCTGGAAGGGACCTCAGAGGTGGTCTAGTCCAACCCCCTGCCCAGAACACACACCATCCCAGGCACACGGTTGCCCGATCTCTCCTTAAAACCCTCCAGTGATGGGCGCCTGCCCCCCCTACAACATCTGGAGGCCAACCCTTCCCCTCATCCCATCGGTCTTCCCACGAGGGTTAGAAAAACCTCCTGAAACCTAAGACTGAGCCTTCCTTCCCCCCCCAAAATAATAATAATAAAAATAAATAATAACCGCAGAGGGATCCCCTTGTTTTCCTCATCTCCATTCTGGGGACGGACGAGAAGGAGCCCGCAGGATTAACGAGGGATCCAGAGAGAAAGAATTGGCTTGGCCTCTTCCTTCTCTTCCCCCCGTCCTCCGATTTTCCTCGGCGTCGGCTGACCTAATTTTCCCGGCCACAGGCTTGGCGAGTCTCTACTCCATGGGGCTGGTTTTGGCCACCTGGGTGTGGCCCCTGGACAGGATCTCGGCCAGCAGATCCGAAGGCGGCGTGGCCGGCAACCCCATCCAAATGTAAGCCTCTCTTTCCCCCTCCCTCCGCTTCCGTTCGCGCACCAGGCTTTTCCATCCTTCAAAAAAAACCACCCAAAATCTTATTTTTTTATTTTTTTTCCCCAACCTTCCAGAAACGGGAGTTTGGTCCTTTCCTTCACTTTGACCCTTAAAAAGAAGAAGAGAGAGAGGGGAAAAATAAAATAAACAGAAATAAGAGTCAAAAGAGAATTTGCCGTGTCACCCAGGCCTTGCCAAAGAACAACTGGAGCGCCAGATTTTTGGCACGGATTCGGGGAGGGAGGGGCGGGAAAAGACTGGCTAATTTGGCATCGACGGGAACGGCCGACCTCTCGTTTTATGGGAGCAGGGGAGAGGGGGGGGTGGAAAATAAAAGGAAAATGGGTTTTTTGGGGGGGGGTTAGCTTCTCTCTCGTTCGAATTTAGGGATTGGAGGGGCTGGGAAAGTGGGCGAAACCGGACTTTGCTTCCGGCGGTCGCTCAACGAGGCTGTCCTCGTTGAGGGACGGGAGTTAGAACAGCGCTGCAAAAATAAAAAGGGGGGGCTTAAGGCTGGTCGACCAATCACCAATGCTCTGCTTTTCTCCCCCCCCCTCCAAAAATAAATAATCCCAGTGCTCACCGGATCATCTTGCTAGTGGAGTCCATCCTCTTCGGCCTCTTCGTCACGGTGATATTTTACGACCAGGTGAGGTTGTAACTCGGGGGGGGGAAAAGGGGCCGCGAGGGAGAGAATGCCACCGCCCGAGACCTCCTCAAACGCCCCCCTCCCACCCACCCACCCGTCTGCTTTCCAGGTGGTCTCCATCATCACCGACGAGACCGCCGTAGAGCAGCTGCGCAACCGGCTTCAGAGGGAGGGTCCCCAGGCGGGGGGCCACACGCGCAAACCCAAGATTGCCCTCCTGCGTGAGGTCTTCGGCCGAGGTACGTCGGGACTCTGGGACAGAGGTCCTTCCTCTCCAAGCCTTTGCCTCCTCTTCCTTTCCTTTCTTCTCCTTTTCTCCTTCTCTCCTCCTGCTCCTCTTCCTCCTCCTCTTCTCCTTCTGTTCCCCATCTTCTTCTCCTTTTCTTCTTTCTCTTCCTCCAGTTCTCCTACATCATCTCCTTTTCTTCTTCTTCTTCCTCCTCTTCCTTCGCCATCTCCTCCTTTTCTCCTCCTCCTCTGCCTTCCTCCTCCTCCTGCTCCTTCACCACCTCCTCTCCTTCTCCTCTTCCTCTTCTTCTGTTCCCCATCTTCTTCTCCTTTTCTTCTTTCTCTTCCTCCTGTTCTTCTCCTCCATCATCTCCTTTTCTTCTTCCTCCTCCTCTTCTTCCTTCGCCATCTCCTCCTTTTCTCCTCCTCCTCCTCTGCCTTCCTCCTCCTCCTCCTCTTCCTCCTCCTCCTTTTTCTTCCTCCTACATCTCTTCTTCCTTCTCCTCCTTCACCTCCTTCTTTTCCTTCCTCTTCCACCTCTTCTCCTGCTCCGTCACCTCTTCCTCCTCTTCTCCTTCTCCTTTTCTCCTCCTCCTTCTTTTCCTTCCTCCTCCTTCTCC